TCAGTGTAGCAATATTCTTGGGATGTCTATTGTGAATCGCTCTCTTAAGGTCATGCCACAGCATTTCAATCGGGTTGAGGTCAGGACTCTGACTGGGCCACTCCAGAAGGCGTATTCTGTGCTGTTGCAGCCATTGTTTTGTTGAATTACTTGTATGCTTTGGGTCATTGTCCTGTTGCATCACCCATCCTCTGCGGAGCTTCAGTTGGCGGACAGATGGTTGTACGTTTTTTCCTGCAAAATGTCTTGATAAACTCTGGAATTTATTTTCCCATCAATGACAACAATCCATCCAGGTCCTGAGGCAGCAAAGCAGCCCCAAACCATGATGCTCCCTCCGCCATGTTTTACAGTGGGGATGAGGTTTTGATGTTGGTGTGCTGTGCCTTTTTTTCTCCACACATAGTGTTGTGTGTTCTTCCCAAACAACTCAATCTTGGTTTCATCTGTCCACAGTATATTTTGCCAGTAGTGCTGTGAAACATCCAGGTGCTCTTTTGCAAACTTCAAACGTGCTGCAATATTCTTTTTGGACAGCAATGGCTTCCTCCGTGGTGTCCTCCCATGTACTCCATTCTTGTTTAATGTTTTCCTTATTGTAGATGTGTCAACAAAAATGTTAGCATATGCCAGAGATTTCTGTAGGTCATTAGCTGACACTCTGGGATTCTTCTTTACCTCATGCAGCATTCTGCGCTGTGCTCTTGCAGTCATTTTTACAGGACGACCACGCCTAGGGAGAGTAGCAACAGTGCTAAACTTTCTCCATTTGTAGACAGTCTGTCTTACCGTGGACACATGAACATCAAGGCTTTTGGAGATATTTTTGTAACCCTTTCCAGCTTCATGCAAGTCAGCAATTCTTGATCATAGGTCTTCTGATAGCTCTTTTCTGCGAGGCATGGTTCACATCAGACAGTGCTTCTTGAAACCAGTAAACCCAAAACAGGTGTTTGTTTTTTTTAAGGGCAGGACAGCTGTCAGCAACACATCCAATATCATCACACTGATTGGAGTCAAGGTTGGCTCACTCCTGGCTCCAATTAGCTCTGGGAGAAGTCATTAAGCTAGGGCCTCACATACTTTTTCCTCCCTGCACTGTGAATGTTTAGATGTTATGTGCAATTAAACCATGGCAACATCTAATGTTTGTGTAGTATTATGTTCAGCAGACTGTGTTCTTCTATTGTTGTGACTTAGATGACATTCAGAGCACATTTTATGCCCAATTCATGCAAAACTCCACGTAATCCCAAGGGTTCACATACTTTTTCTTGCAACTGTAGCTAGGGGCAGTGTTGTGGATGGCCTTGTAAGCTGTGGTTAGTATTTTGAATTTTATACGTTGGGTTTAGTGGAAGCCAGTGAAGGGATTGGCAGAGAGGGGCAGCAGTCGCTGATCGGTTGGTAAGGTGTATGAGTCTAGCAGCAGCATTCATAATAGACTGAAGGGGGGATAGCCTGTGTAACGGTAGACCAGTGAGGAGGGAGTTGCAGTAATCGAGGCGGGATATAACCAAGGCATGGATGAGTTGTTTTGTGGTGTCATTGGTCAGGAAGGGGCGGATTTTGGAAATGTTCCGGAGGTTGAGGCGGCAGGATTTAGCCAGTGAGTGGATGTGGGGCCCAAAGGAGAGGTCAGAGTCTAGGATTACGCCTAGCACCCTGGCATGAGGGGAAGGACCAATGGTTGTGCTGTAGATCTTAATGGTAAAGTCGTGAGTGGGGGATCGGGGAGGAGGAAATATTACAAGCTCAGTTTTTGAAAGATTGAGTTTGAGGCAGTGAAGTGACATCCATGCTGATATGTCGCTTAGTAAATTTGTGATATGTGAGGAGATTGAGGGGTGAGCTGGGGAGTGGAGGGATAGATCTGGGTGTCATCAGCATAGAGGTGGTATTGGAAGCCATGGGAGGTTATCAGCTGGATCCATTATCTCCTGCGCTCAAGGACTCAGATCAAACAGGCGTTAGTGACAAGCAGCGTGTTGTGTATTCATCCACTGGTGATCAGAGGTTGTGCAGCTCCATCTTCCTCTACAGGTTATTAGCTGGCCCAGGAAGGAGGTATAGAGAGAGAAAAGGAGGGGCCCAAGAACAGAACCTTGGGGTAACCCAACAGAAAGGGGAAGAGGAGCGGAAGAGGAGGAGTTGTATGTGATACTGAAAGTGTGCTGAGAAAGGTAAGAGGAGAACCAAGAAAGAGAAGAGTCACGGAGGCCGGTGGAGTGGAGTTTTACCGAGAAGGAGCGTGTGGTTAACTGTGTCAAAGGTAGTGAAAAGGTCAAGGAATATGAGTAGGGAGTAATTGCCATTGGTTTTAGCAGTTAGTAGGTCATTAGTGAGTTTTAGTAGGGCAGTTTCTGTGGAATGTTGTGGGCGGAAGCCAGACTGTCGGGGGTCAAGAAGGTTGTTGTAGGTGAGGTAGCAGTTCATACGGTTGTGAACAAGGCGCTCGAGACGTTTGGAGGCTAACGGGAGCAGGGAAATGGGTCTTAAGTTGTTCAAACAGGTGGGGTCCAGCGAGGGTTTTTTGAGAATGGGGGTAACAGTGCATGTTTGAGTGGGGAGGGAAAGGTGCCCATGGAGAGTGAGAGGTTGAAGATGTGGGATAGAGAGTTTAGGATAGAGCAGGAAGGAGACTGCAACATTTGTGAGGGGACAGGATCCAGGGGACAGGTGGTGAAGTATCTTTAGGTATTTTTAAATTACTGATTCATTACCTTCACCTTCCTCTGTCCAAAATCTATGTGTGTGGTATCTATGGATGTACAGTATGTGTAAATTCCAATTTATACAAGATCTCAGGGTACCCTTGTTCCCAAATGTTTAACCACCCTCCCGTTAAGGCAGATGTCTAACCTGTTTTTTTTGGAATCCGTTTAAACCTCAATAGCTGGGTTATTAGCACTGATCTAAAAATTTCAATCTGTTTCTTTAGCATAAAGGTCTGCTGCTACTAGATACTGAACTTACCCACTGTCTCGCAGCTTTGAGTCCTATTTGGAAATTTCCTAAGTTTCACAATATCTTACCTCCAGCACAAGTAATGGAGGCCTTTTCCCCTGACCTGTTGGACTCTATTTTAAAGGCTCAGTCTAGTGCTCCACCCAAACTACCTCCTGGAAAGCTATTTGTTTCCCTCTACCTTAGGCTTAAAGTTCTTTCAGAAGCACATGATGCTATGACGGCCAAGCACACAGGGATTACTAAAACGTTTTCTTTGGTTTCTTGTGGGCTTTGTTGGCCCTCTCTCCATAAGGACTCCATAGGAACAATGCCACTACCTGTGCTCTCTCTAATTTCTCAAAAGTTGAGCCCTCTGGATTACCCCAACCTTTGCCTGTCCCTAGACACCCTTGGATGTACATTGGAGGGGAACATCCTCAAGTTTGATGCTGCCCAGTCTGCCTCTGCACTAGTTATTCTGGTCCAGCCCATGCCAATTAAGCCTCCTGCTTTTTCATATTCAGGACTTTCAGTAAGCTGGCCTTACCGTACTGCAACTACATCTACCTAAACCTGTCTAAGAAGTTCAATCCATCCTTTGCATAGGCTGCCTCATTTGGCCAGGTGGGGGCCTTGACTTTTTCTTCAAGCCACTCTGCATCCAGCCTGTGTTACAGATATCCAGCTTGACTGCAGTGACATGTCACCTGCTATCCAGCCTGACACTGATTCTCTGTCTACTGTCCAGTTTGGCTCCATAGATTGTCTGCCTTCTAACCAACCTGACCTTGCTGATTCACGGACCATTGCCCAGTCTGATGGTCCTGTGCCAGATGTCCAGCCTGTTGGTCTGATGCCTGATGTCCAGCATGCCTCTAACGGTCCAGGGGCCCCTCCTCAGAGGAGGGTAATGTAAGGAGCATGTAGCGCTCCTGCTCCATCACAACTGCTGATCTCATTTCAGCATCCTGGTTTTGGCTGTGATACATTCTCCCTGTCTGTCCTCCTGCAATCTCATTGTCAGGGCTCCAGGGTATGACCAGAGGTATGTGAACTGACGCAGGGAAACGCAGGCTTCAGATATGATATAAACAATATAATTTATTAATACTAACAATACATAAACGCAGTGCAATACTAAAACATAACACAGTGCAAACGAACCAAACCACCCACAGATAACAATACATACAATGCAAGCGTCGTCAGGCAGGCTGGGTCAATAACAATCGGGCAGGTAGGAACAGGAGGAGCAGGCAGAGAGTAGTCAGGTCACGAGCCGGGTACAGCAACTAACGGGCAGGTAGGTACAGGGGGTCAGGCAGAGAATGGTCGGGGTCACAAGCCAGGGATCAAAACAGGAGAAGTCAGCAGAGGTCCGGATCAGGCAGGGTTGGCAACGAATCAGTCAGACAGAGACAGGAACAGGAACAGGGATGCAGGTAACAAGATACAGGGCCCAGGAAAAACACACACCAAGGCAGAGACTGCAGGTCTGGCCATCCCTTAAATACACCTCCGTAATCAGCTTCAGGTGTTTGGCTGGCTGCAGGGTTGAGTCTCTGATTGCTGGGAGCACCTGCTGGCCAGCCCTGGTACTGCAGCCCACAAGGCAGGTGAGTCCCACCATTACTGGCAAGTCCATTCCTGACAGTACCCCCCCTCAAGGAGCGGCCTCAGGATGCTCCAAACAGTCCTAGCTGGGCAAAATGTTCCACCGCCCGGGTCTGGTAACTGGCGGGATATCAAAGACTGGCACATCGGGCTGAACTCCGGGCAGCGGCACATTGGGCTGGACTCCGGGCAGCGGCACATCGGGCTGGACTCCGGGCAGCGGCATATCGGGCAGGACTCGGGGCAGCGGCACACTGGGCAGGACTCCGGGCAGCGGCACACCGGGCAGGACTCCGGGCACGACTCTGGGCAGAGGCACATCGGGCTGGACTCCGGGCAGAGGCACATCGGGCTGGACTCCGGGCAGTGGCACATCGGGCTGGACTCCGGGCAGAGGCACATCGGGCTGGACTCTGGGCAGAGGCACATCGGGCTGGACACTGGATCACCAGGCGGAGCAGCAGGCACCGGGCCACCAGGCGGAGCAGCAGGCACCGGGCCACCAGGCGGAGCAGCAGGTGCCCGGGAACCAGGCGGAGCAACAGGCATCAGGCCCCCAGGCGGGGCGGCGGGCGCCGGGCCCCCAGGCAGAGCGGCGGGCACTGGGCCCCCAGGCGGGGCGACAGGCATCGGGCCCCCAGGCGGGGCGACAGGCATTGGGCCCCCAGGCGGGGCGACGGGCGCCAGGCCCCCAGGCGGAGCGGCGGGCGCCGGGCCCCCAGGCGGAGTGGCGGGCGCCGGACCCCCAGGAGGGACGGCAGGCACCGGGCCCCCAGGCGGAGCGGCGGGCACCGGGTCATCAGGAACGACAACGGGCATCGGGTCACCAGGCATCAGGTCATTTGGCTCGACAGCGGGCACCGTGTCATCTGGCAAGGCAGTGGGCACCGAGTCACCAGGCACGACAGTGGGCTCTGAGTCAATTGGCATGACAGCGGGCACCGGGTCATCAGGTACCGGATCGTCTGGATCGACAGCGGGCACCGGGTCATCTGGCGTTGGATCGTCTGGCTCGACAGCGGGCATCGGGTCACCAGGTATGACAGCGGGCACTGGGTCACCAGGCATCAGGTCATTTGGCTCGTCAGCGGGCACCGCGTCATCTGGCAAGGCAGTGGGCACCGAGTCACCAGGCACGACAGTGGGTTCCGAGTCAACTGGCATGACCGCGGGCACTGGGTCAGACATTGGATCGTCTGGCCCGACAGCGGGCATCGGGTCACCAGGCATGACAGCGGGCACTGGGTCATCAGGCATGGGATTGTCTGGCTTGACAGCGGGCATCGGGTCACCAGGTATGACAGCGGGCACTGGGTCACCAGGCATCAGGCCATTTGGCTCGCCAGCGGGCACCGCGTGATCTGGCAAGGCAATGGGCACGAGTCACCAGGCATGACAGTGGGCTCCGAGTCAACTGGCATGACCGCGGGCACTGGGTCAGACATTGGATCGTCTGGCCCGACAGCGGGCATCGGGTCACCAGGCATGGCAGCGGGCACTGGGTCATCAGGCATTGGATCGTCTGGCTCGACAGCGGGCATCGGGTCACCAGGCATGACAGCGGGTACTGGGTCATCAGGTACCGGATCGTCTGGATCGACAGCTGGCATCGAGTCAACTGGCCTAATGGAATCATCAGGCTGGATCAGTTCATCAGGGTAGAAACATCATGCTGGGTAGAGACATCAGGCTGAATGGAGGCATCAGGCTGAATGGAGGCATCAGATTGGGTAGAGGCATCAGGCTGAATTGTGGGCGCCGAGGCACCAGGCTGCACCACAGAAGGCAGGTTCTCAGATGGGAGGCTGACCGGTTTGGATACTGGCAGGATGGTATTGGTTGGAAAGAACTTTCGCCTTTTCCTGGTTTTAGTTACCGGAGCACTGTAAGTAAGCGCAGGTTTGTAAACGGATGGAGCAGCTGGAGACAGAGAAGAGCTGGAGGATGGAACAGGGGAGGGAACAGTTGCTACAGAGGGCTTCTTTACAGGGTTAAAGGCAGGATAGGTGCAGCGAGTGGGAACAGGGTACTGACATGTGGTAGATAGCAGGGTATTCTGGGCTGCAACTGGAGGTGCTGTTGGGAATGCAGGAATAGAGCTTTGAAGAAATAGATTAGAAGCAGGACTGGGTTTTTGCAAGCTGACTGAGGCTGGGTGCAACAAGTCTGACCATGTCTGCAGTATGGGTTGAACAAAGCTCAGCTTACACAAAGCCTGTCTGACCAAAGACTGCACTGCGTTTATACAATCCCTTAATACCTGTGGTGAACATGCAGCATAATGCTCCAAGAAGCAATCCACATCATCCTCTAATAACCATACCAGGGACTCTACCTGGTCTGCACTAAATGGTGGCAAAAAGTCATTCCTGCTTTCAGGGGTACCAGATGAAGCCAACTCTACACAAACCTGAATCAAAGGTTGCACCTCAGAGAACTCTGTGCCCTGATCTACTAGAACATGAGCGATCCGTATACATTCTAGCAGTTGATCCCGGGTATAGTCCCTCAGAGCCTGATAAGCATATTTTCTGTCATCAAAAACCAGCAGCGACAAATACACAACCTCATCAAGATCCATCCTTCCCAGCAACAAGCCAAGATGGCTTCCCTGTGCAGCCACTTCTGGTCAGGATTGGCCTTGGTGTAATGTCAGGGCTCCAGGGTATGAACAGAGGTATGTGAACTGACGCAGGGAAACGCAGGCTTCAGATATGATATAAACAATATAATTTATTAATACTAACAATACATAAACGCAGTGCAATACTAAAACATAACACAGTGCAAATGAACCAAACCAAACCACCCACAGATAACAATACATACAATGCAAGCGTCGTCAGGCAGGCCAATAACAATCGGGCAGGTAGGAACAGGAGGAGCAGGCAGAGAGTAGTCAGGTCACGAGCCGGGTACAGCAACTAATGGGCAGGTAGGTACAGGGGGTCGGGCAGAGAATGGTCGGGGTCACAAGCCAGGGATCAAAACAGGAGAAGTCAGCAGAGGTCCGGATCAGACAGGGTCGGCAACGAATCAGTCAGACAGAGACAGGAACAGGGATGCAGGTAACAAGATACAGGGCCCAGGAAAAACACACACCAAGGCAGAGACTGCAGGTCTGGCCATCCCTTAAATACACCTCCGTAATCAGCTTCAGGTGTGTTTGCTGGCTGCAGGGTTGAGTCTCTGATTGCTGGGAGCACCCGCTGGCCAGCCCTGGTACTGCAGCCCACAAGGCAGGTGAGTCCCACCATTACTGGCAAGTCCATTCCTGACACTCATGCTTGTGATATTGCATTTGTAATATTTGCTCCAATCTCCCTGTTGTCTGCCCTGCCTGATAGTTTGGATTCCCTCGTTGATGACCTCAGATCGGATATAGACTACTCTATGAACTTTGCCTGTCTGCCGGATTTGACCATGACTATTCTGAACCTTGTTCCTAGAATGTCAATGAACCACTCTCCCTGTCTGCCAACCACAAGTACCTGTTTGTAATCAGTTTGTGACTGTAATCAATTCACGTGGTGGCCAGGCGATATAACACTCAGTACCGGTAGTCCTGCTTGCCTTATGGAAAAGGGGGCTGCTATGGTATAAGAACACAGAAGCCAACTATAGTGCCTAGCCACATGTGTTATTTTCAAAAGCTGAGCCAAAAAAAAAGTGGTGCTGAAACTAAAAATCTAAAAAAAATTGGGGGTTTATCCAATAACTTTGGTTGTTTATTAGAGTGTGACTGGGGAGTATCATTTTCCTACAACCTTCAAGCTCAAAGGTGTCCCTCTTTCTCATCTCTGAAAGCTGGGAGGTATGGGGAAAAATGCATTAAGACAACACTCACTGACCTCTATCTACAGGAACCATAGAGTAATTCATCCCTAAGATTCTGAAAATATTTTCACTTATTTTTTGATTGACTAGATTGCTTTGCTCCCCCTTCAAGCAGTGAACCTTGATCTTAACATGAAAAGACTTCAATTGTAATTACTGGAAATAGCAATTAACGGCATTCTAGTGTTTACCAGGTAAACAAGTTATCCTATGAATGCCATTCCCATAAATACCGCCTCTTTAATTGTCATCAATAAATACTTCTTGTATGGTCAATTCACATTCTTTATCATCCTTAAATATGCAAAACAATGTACCGTTTGAAATGTTAATTTACTACAAATAAGGAAAAAAACATATTTAAGACCCTCTTCATGTCTAATTAGACAAATCTGCATTTACAACCCCTTGTAGATAACCTCCTTTGTAATGTCTAATTAGATAAACAGATTGATTCCCAAATACTAAGATAAGGTATTTGAAATAAAATAGTTAAGAGTCCCTTGATGTATAAAAATGGACTTGTCACTGGCCTGTCTAAGAATGTAAGTATGCATGTATGTATTGTGGGAACTAGCATCAAATGTAGAGTTTTTTAAAGCACACAGCCACTCACTTCTTCTTTTTAAGGGCCTTTTTTGCCCACTTTTATTTAAAAGAAAGTTCCATATAACAGGTTTCCCAAGCAGAGGTATCCACCATCAATACAAACAAAAATATTCAGCCTCCTGGCTCTCTTTATCAGCTCTGCTGGTTAGCAGTATCTCCATTTAAATGGGTCTCCCAGACCACTGGCTAGTCCCAGCACACAGCATTGGACTCCTTGAATGCACACAGCCTCCTTCCAAAAAATGGCTTTTTGCACACAGCTAGCAGCCCCTTGTTGCTCTGGCTTCCACCTCTCCTAGGTGGAGCCCTCCTGACTCCTTAGCAATCACCTCCTATCTGCCGGGATGGAGCCCAGAACCCTGGTCCTGACTCTAGAAGAGAGCCATGCACACCTGAGCAATCAGTCTCCTGGCCATTCCCAAACCCTGGTCCCAGGATTAGAGATTTCATCCCTCCCAAATCACTTTGAAATCTCCAGGCTCCAGGTCCCAAAATGAACTTTACAAACAAATGAGGAAAGTGAAAAGCCACTTTCCTCTGCATCAAACAAGTACCCTGGAGCCCCACAACCTGCCTTGTTGAGAATCCTGGGTGAAATATCCTTTTTATATTGTGACAGATTTCCACACTGTCACATACCCCCGCCCCCTTTGTTTTGTCCTGGAGGGTGAAACACACAACTTACAGCTTCTGGCACCTCTGTGCCAGCTCTCACTTACAGGGGTTCAATCCGGTCTGACCATACCTTTCTTAAAGGGGAACTCTACGCAATGACTCCTTTGGTGTCTCCCCAAGCCCCATTGTCACTCTGCTATGGGCTTTAATCAGACCTTCCCTACTCTTTTTCCATGTGCACTTCCATAAGCACTTTCTCTCCTGAAATCTTAACGGGGTCTCCCTGGTCTTTCTATCAACCTTTCTGCCTCTTTGCTTCCGGTTCCAAGGTTTCCTAATACCTCTCTCAGTATTACTGTGTCCCAAGGCTGTAGGAGACCCATTTCTACTGTATTTGTACCAGGACCACCCCTCTTATTTCTGGTACCTTTGGATATCAAACCTGCATGACTCATCACCACAGTATTCAGTTTACCATGAACAGATATATTCCAGTCAATATTACACCTCTCAATATCTTTTCCAGCATTTGTTAGGACAGTGTCTGCAGAGGGCACACACACCATAGGGCAGCCATCACCCACGGGAACCTCACAAGATGCCACTTCACCTGGTGTCATGTACTCTGCAGGTGGCTGTCTCACCATTTTAACTTTTCCTACACCACTTGGATCTGTATCCAAATCCTGAACAGATGAGCTCTCTTCTGATCCATTTTGCCAGTTTTCACATACCATTTGTCCCTGTATTTCAGGTGTCTTATCAGACCTGCTACATAAACCTCTTTTTGGCCCAGTGACCCTGATTCTTTAACCACTTGCCGACCGCGCATAGCCGAATGACGGCTTCACCACGGCCGGCCAGTTCTGAGTGGACGTCATATGA